TGCAGCTCTTTCCCCTCCCGTTTCTAGGTCTTCCATGTATTTCTGCTTGTCAGCTCTACTAGTCCTCTCCACTTGCTCGTTTGCTTCAGAGTATTCAACTATGTCTTGGCTTTCTCTGTTCTTGTTCGGCTGTTGTTAATTGCTGTATTCTTGTTCTTCATTTCTTGAATCACGGCCAGGGTTTCGACTGAGACACATTCTTTACCATGCTTGTTGCGGTATGTTGAAGTTCGTGCGTCTTTGATCCTTTTCTAGTTGTTCTCCATGGTAGTTCACTCTTATTTGAGTAGATCTTGTAAAACATGGAATAAATACATGTGGTAAGTTTTCGAAAAAATCGTCTTCTTCTCTGGACACTAGATAATAATAAGCTTATACGAATATTCGTCAAGATTAGAACGAATAGTTTGACAGTAATTGAGCGCCGAGTATAGAGAAGTCATTATATGTGAAAATTATATTTGAAATATCATCAGAGGTTATAAAATGCTTAGAATTATGTTTAAGATCTACCTTATTCATATTTCGAGGTCAACTTTACAGACAAAAAGAGGGTATAGCAATGGGCTCACCAGTTTCTCCGATTGTAGCGAATTTATTCATGCATTCCCTAGAAACTAGTGCAATCGCAAAGAGTTTATGTCCACCAAAGTTATGGTTAAGGTATGTAGACGATATTTTTATTATCAATAAACGGGATGGTATGGAAGAACTATTTAACAATGCAAACAGCATTTCTGGAAACATTAAACTAACTAAGGAATTAGAATCAGTTGACCACAAACTAGCATTTCTAGATTGTCTGGTTGAACGTCGACACAATAATAAGAAGTTAAAAATAAATGTTTACAGAAAATCAACGCATTCCGAGAGATACTTGGATTTTAATTCAGCCCATTCACAGAGCACGAAAATTAATGTGGTAAAAAATCTAATGAACAGAAGTACTAAGATTGTTACAGACAAGGAAGACCAACGAACCGAATTAAGTAAAGTATTTTCTACTCTTAGGGATAACAACTACCCAAAAAGGTTTTTAAAGAAGATTATTAAAAATGAAAGAAAACCTAAACTAGGAAGTATAGGAAAAGAATGGAAGTACACCGTAGTCATACCTTACCGTAGTGAAACATCAGAAGAAATCAAACGGATTCTAAACAAACATGATATAAGAGTGTATTTTAGAGCAAATAACACATTAAGATCGACATTGGTGAAAGTTAAGGACAAATTAGAAAAGGAAGAACAACAGAACATTGTGTATGAGATTCACTGTCATGACTGTAATGCTACCTATGTTGGAGAAACATCCAGGCAATTAAATGTAAGATTGAAGGAACACAAACAATGCTTGAAAAATGTTCCAAAATCCTCGCTAGATTTAAAGAAACTTGAAAATAAGTCAGCGATAGCGTTACATGCGTTAGAAACAGGACACAAGATTAATTTTGAAGGGACCAAAATACTTCAGAAAGGTTTTAACACCCATAAAGAAAGATTGACAGCAGAAGCTCTGCATATATGGGCGAACAAGAACAGCCTGAACCGAAAAGATGGTATTCAAATGGCAACTACATGGCAAATTTCGTTTGACAAGTAAATTTGGAACCTATCTCTTGTTTAAACCTGTTTTTAATATCACATGCATCGTTATTATTATTGAAAGAACTGAATGAGATTTTAAACAATACAATTTATGTTTTGACATGCACATCGATCTTTCATTATCAAGTTTTTCATCCTTGAACTTGATTTATTCCCTCATATCAATCTCTCACACATACATACATACATACACACTCACACACATACGATTTGTTACTCAGTTAAGTTTTCACAGATTTAAATCATGAGTCAGTTGAAGCTAGACCACCATTGAAAACCTGGAAGCACTGGACGGCCGTTTCGTCCTAGTATGGGACTCCTCAGCAGTGCGCATCCACGATCCCGCACCACGCGGGGCTCGAACCCAGGACCTACTGGCTTCGCGCGCGAGCACTTAACCATTAGACCACTGAGCCGGCATCCAACGGTGTTAATGTCTAACTTCAACCAATCCACGAAGTTGCGCCACCATATACCATTGTCTTCAGTGAGCTGATATCTCACAACAGACCTGGTTGAACTCCACTGGTAACGGCTTCCCACTAGAACTCCAGGAGTATCTCTTGAAGTCAGTCACTAGTGAGCAGATGATTATTATCAGAAGGGGTTTGTGGAGATTTTAGAAATTTTCACAGATTTAAATCATGAGTCAGTTGAAGCTAGACCACCATTGAAAACCTGGAAGCACTGGACGGCCGTTTCGTCCTAGTATGGGACTCCTCAGCAGTGCGCATCCATGATCCCGCACCACGCGGGGCTCGAACCCAGGACCTACTGGCTTCGCGCGCGAGCACTTAACCATTAGACCACTGAGCCGGCATCCAACGGTGTTAATGTCTAACTTCAACCAATCCACGAAGTTGCGCCACCATATACCATTGTCTTCAGTGAGCTGATATCTCACAACAGACCTGGTTGAACTCCACTGGTAACGGCTTCCCACTAGAACTCCAGGAGAATATGGTGAGAATATTTCAAATATAATTTTCACATATAATAATAAGCTTGTTTAGATATATAAAAGCTAAATATATGATCGGACAGACAATTCAAGGCTACACACACCTAGAGATTCGACGGCTGTAACTAAATTAGATGGGCCAAAGCGACCATCACTTTTAAGAATTAATGTTATTTCGTTTTGTAATTCCACAATACCCTAGTTGTTTCCACACAAAGCAACTAATGCACATTCGAATGGGCTACATACAGAAATCTGTTGCTAAACCAACACTTACAGGATACATTTGGACAGCACGTATTTACTAAATCATCTATCAAATATGGCGAAGCTAAACAACAACTACTGTCGTTTAAATCAAGGTTCTAAAAACAGGTAGTTGTTTTCTAACAACTGATGTCAAAGCTGTTTAGTGCCTTTTGGTTTGAAAAAGGCATTTGTACCAATAAGATCTTTAGCTAAAATTGGGATTTTAATTTTAAATTTAATTAGGCAGTACGTCAGAGTTTATTAACTGCCCCCAAATGCCTTGTTACGACCGAGAGTGGGAAGAATCCACTCTCCCTCTCCACATGGCCACGCGTATACAGCCACTGCCACAGAAGTCCTACTCACTTCTGTCGGTGGGGGTGTTTACAAAATTGAGAGGACAAAAAGAGTGTTCGGCGCTTTAACCGGGTTGGTGAACACGGAGGATCCACCAAGGGGAGTTGGAAAACCCTGATTCCAAACCCATGATGCACATGGGCTCCAGGATCCTGAAGGGACAAAAGGCGTATGAACCTATTTTTGGTCACTAGGTACCACGAAACTGCACCTCCTAACGTTGTTCTACTGCCGTGTGGATTAGACCTCTAATTCAGATGCTCGGGGACTGCCCCCCTAAAATAACAACCTGCTTCGGTTTGAGCGCCCGGGCAGTATCACAGCGCTCACACAAAACAATGATAACTGCTACTGGCCTCATTGTTATTGTGTAGCGCATATTTGGTACTCCCTCGTACCAATGTTGTGTTTAAATAAATAAATAAAACTTATCTCAGAGGAAATGACTTACTAGTTATTACACAATCAGTCTAAACTGGCAATCAAATAAACTATCTTTCTACTCATCAGTTTTTTCGTTCTGCAATAAATTGTACTTCAAGCTGTTATTAAAGTTCTTATAGGTACACTTAAAGTTTACATCTTAAAATACTAAACAATGTAGTTTCTTATTCTATTGTTAAAATAGACAATTCATCACGCCTTATTCATCACAATAAACAATGTGAAATGTATAAATATGGCGAATTTATTTACAAAACCCGTGTTAAGCAGTCATATTGCTTCCCAATTACTTGACTTAATCCGACTACTATGGATCATTCTAGTCTATAAACACTCGTTAGTGGACAGCTGTAAACCTATTGGAATACTACTTAGCTATAGAAAAACTACACATTCATCGACTGGATCCTATTATACAGCGTCTACAGAAATATGTATGGAATGGGCACTCACGCATTAACCAATAGGTAAAAAGAAATTGCAGGTCACGGAATGATATTTGGTTCACTCGAAAACAATAATCCTACAAAGATAACATCGACAGAGCTAACTTAGTAGCCAATTATAGTATACGGTAAAAAATTTGAAATTGCTCGATTGAACGGCGGAGTCCAATTTTAGGAATCAAGTTATTTTGAATGTTCTTGCGGTTGGGCTCCCCACTCAAATATGCTTTCTAAGAAACATCCTATTATTGTATAAAAACTTACGAAAATTTATCATTTCGGGTAACTACAAATAGTACATTTTATCACCAACAGTTACTTATTATTTCCATCCATTTTTTTCATGAAAACCACTATAGACAGCTCTAACCAACAGTTTTTCGGTGGTTAGTTATCTGAAAACTCAATTGACTAGAAATATACAGGTGACATAATGTAGCTGAAAATCACTGTTTAAGAGAATCTCCCAAATATCCCAGTTGAAAATGCCTGAGTTTCACTTCGCACCGCCCAAAATAAATGACTATTTATCATAAACTGAAACTGTAGGATCATTATTTGCTGAAGTATCCAGATAGACCAACTAAATGTAGCGCAGAACAACTCTGTTGAGCTATCCACTCATGAGTTTTTCAGTGTTCAGTTGCCCAAGTGAAGATGAGCAATAATGAATTACGTTTTCGACAACACCGATGGAAGGAGGAAGTTGTTATTTAGAATCACTTTTTATAAGTTCTCATCATCCGAATATAAAGTAGTAAAAGTAAAGAACAAAACACAAATGGCATACAAAATATCTATTAATATAAAGGAGAGAAATATCTTGGAGTAGATCAGACTGGAAATAAAATATAGGCAAAAATAAACGGTAAAAAGGTATAAATGCAGATATATAGAATTATTAGATTTTACCTTCCCTTTGATGTGAGTTTAGTTATTTAACCCAATTTTTCGGGGTACCGTGATACAAATGTAGGAACAGAAAATTTCCGTAAACATCCTTTATAGTTCATATATCGTATTTTACCAAAAATAGGTCGTTCAGGCCAGCCTTGATCATGAACACCACATATTGCCCACATAATACCTACGTGGGAAGAGAAAAGTCTATATTATTTTTCCTTTTTGTAATGTCCAAGAGTAGTTTCTTACAGTAGACAACTGACTAAAGCATGTAAGTAAACGTAAAAACGGACTAGGAATTCATAATTATATGTATAAAACTAACCAACGTATCCATTTGGGTCTGTCCCATCTAAACTGTAACGATCGTTTAAGTATATTGCTATTTGAATAGCCGATTCTGGACCCTCTGCGCACCACTCAAGTATCTTTTTGGCCCAGTACTGGCGCAGAAACCAATGCATCTTGCCCTTGAGCACTAATTGACGTTGTGCTGCATTCCATAGATCGTCATTAGTTTGGGCAGTTTCCATCTGAGTTTTACTGTACGCTGGATCTCGTTTATCTGTTGAGTGTGTCATAAGTGATTCACGTGCCCAGTCAAGTGCACCTACGTAATAATCAGGAAAAACAACTTGTTGACATTATTCAAATATCTGATAACGGAATACAATGACGTTTAAAATTTTAACCGTTTTTAACACTTCATATTTTATGTTCAATGACTATTAGTAATAAACGGCTAAAAATCAGTGACCAATATTTACATCCTTAGAAAATTATTTTCCTAAAACATTTGACCATTTTTTCCCTAATTAAAAATCATTTCAAATGTGATTCGCTTTATGTTGATTCACACACATTATCTGCTAACATAATTATGATGTTTGTTCATAACATCAACATTATAGGCGGTCTGCTTGAGCATCTGGGCTACCTGTTCCTGTCATCTAGATATTTCAACAAGTTATCTATTTTTGTTTGTTTTAATATATCATTATGTCTATTAATCGCATAACCTATCCTGGTGCATTTCTGAAAAGTGTACAACCTTTCGTTGTCAAAGTTACAAAAAGCTCAATAAGAGACAATGTCGTTGCTGGCAATATACAAAGAAAAGAATGTACATCATTTAGATGTTCATTTATTGGACTGCTAACATCTAACTCGCGGTCACTCAATATTTATCGTCAGGATCGACCAAGAAGAAAGAAACGGAAACTTGTTGAAATACTTTGTGCTGAGAATTCTATATTGTACCAAAAATATAATATTGAATAAAGCTAATAATAATAATATTCATGAACAGAAAATTCATCAAAGACTTTCCACAAGCTGATCACTATTCAATGGCCCGGTGGTTGACAGTTTCTAACTCTTAAGTAATATTTTTATATTTCAACAGTTGAATTCATGAGCCGATCTGAGCTGGATCACCATTGAAAACCAGGAGGCACTTTATAATTTACACACGATTGTTGATAATGTTTTAAAAAAGTAGTCTTTGTGTAAGTAGTACACGGTCGTTGTTCATTTAGTGATAGACAATGTACAAATTTGCATAAATTTATTTCCACTCAAATTACACGATATCTTTGTTATTATTTATGGTAAAATTGAATTTAGTGAAAATTTTGTAAACTGAACGATTCATTACGTCACTAATTACTCCTTCTACTAACTTTCTTGATAACGTTTTGCTACTTTGTCGTTAATTATATCAAGTGTCGATATACATATATATAATTACACAAAAAATAACATACCTTTAATCGAATCATAGGAATGTGTATGGAAACAAAAATTTTCGGCCAACTCTCTTCTGTTAAAGCATTCTTCAATGAAGATATCGGCCGACCGTCCAAAGTGCTTTTGAACAGCAACTACTTCAAGAACAGCACGCTGAGGAGCGATTTGACCTTAAAATAAAACCAACAGTATACTACTCTGACGCAACAGGCTGTTGTGTTAAATTACCATAATTCAAAGTATCTATAGTAGACGAAAGCCGAAATACACTAAGTAGTGAGAAATGTCCACAGCTTAGACAAAGTGAAAATAAAAAAGCATTCGGATGAAAATTGTACAGGAAAAGCTTTTGGTTGAATTTCATGCACATTTTCCAATATAAATGGACAATATGATTAATTAAGCTCACTAACCAAAATGTAACCAAGGTGACAATCCGCTAAGAGCTGGATGAGCAGGGTCATTTCTATGAGGATCGAATTTTTTTAAACGTTTGCCGATAAATTCATATAGAACTTCTAAACCAGCTCGGGTTCCAGGTACAGCCCAGTCCACAGGTTTCACACTTTTGTCACCAACATAATTAGATAAAATTAACTCCCAATTAACAGGCTAAAAAAGTTCAAATGGAAAAACAGTTACTAGACATTAACCCAGTGAAATTGTAGAAACCAACAGTGGTACTTATTGTTAATTTGGAAATTAGTTAGAATTTAATCACATATAGATAAGCTTTTTAAACAAGTCCCTAGGCCATCGAGCACAGAGTCTTGGTGTGGCCAAAGTCACAGACAAGCTATTAGGCTTGTAAGACTTCATCTTTTTCTAGAAACAAATTAATACAATTGGTGAAAAAAACCGAAATCGAAACAATCTATTAAAAGGAAAAAAGGAGGCAACAAAAATGACACATACTGAGCAGTGACTAGAGGACACAACAAATAAGTCAATGAAGCTTGGTCGCGTTTAGAAAAAATGTACAAGCTTGATTGGTGAATGGAAAAAAACAGTTGCACCAAGGTCAGATGAGGTTGAAGTAGTTGGTGTTCAATAACGTCATTGATGGGTTTATTTATCGATTACACCTAATATGTTACCAAGTCTTCAGATATCCAAAGCGTGAGCCATGATGGTTTGTCACACAGGTTAGGTGGATAACTATATTCAATTCTTGTAAGTGAATTTCAGAGGTATTATATCAGTCAATACAACGTAAGATCAGGGACACATATGCATCAGTCGAAGTTACCATACCTCATTAGCACAAGAAGATGAACACCAAATTCATAAAAGCAGTCACTTCAATGGTAGTAATATACAAAAAACGATTGCATATAACGATATGATACAGGGAGAAGAAATTTGTTCGTAAAAACAAAGGTAGTTTTAATCTTACAGTTTAAGGGAAAATAAAGAGTATATACACCTACGTCACTATGTCACCCAGAGTCTCCAATAATTGGTTACGACAGTTGAGCGGACCCTAACCAAGTAGTCTGCATCTACCAACATGGTTCAGATCAGACGTTAGTGACATTGTGGACTGACGACACGTTTTAGTTCGGTCACCCCTAATTTCCTTCCATCCGTCCCCAACACTAATCAACATTGCACGCCGTGGTAATCGGTGGTTGGACATGAATAATACATGGTCCAACCATCTCAGTCAATGTAGATTCACTATCTCAACAACTGATTTACCATCATTCCCTAATACCCTACGTCTAACCTCACTATTACTTACCCCAGTGATGCCAGCAATATTTCTAAGACATCTGTGATTAAATATTAGTAACTTACGAGTATCTTCTACCTTTAGTAACCACGTTTTGCAGCTATAAGGTAAAACAGAACGAAAAAGGTATGATATATTCATTGCACATATTTTAGACTGACTTCTTTGTCTCTTTTTCCGCTTTTTGGATATCAGCTGCTTACTTTTCAAGCATCATTGTGAGGGACGAAAATTACTAGAGGAGAGAGAAATGCCATTTTAGGATAGACCTTTCTAACTTAATTTCGTTTAAGAGAAGGTAGTTTCTGGAGATGCTGATCATCCTAGAGGAATACCTCAATGTCAATACAATTCAGTACAGTCGGCAGTCTGGCGTCATCCTCATGATTGGAATTTATTGCCTTTAGCTTTACTGTTTTGTAACTGATCTGCTTGGAGTTAGGGAACCTTTAAGAACAATTTCCATAGGACAGGCAAGACCGATCATCGCACTGAAAAAAAATTGGCCACAGATGAAAATTCAAAAACAAAACTGGTGAGAAAACCTTAGAAGTAATTGTCTTCAGTAGCATCTAAAAATAAAGAAAGAGTCTACTGAAAGTACAGAAAAACAAAGTTTTATTACGAGAACTGAAAGTAGTGTAATGGGCAGATCATTTAATACATTGAAATAAAGTTAAAGCAAGCATACCGGAGGAAGGACAGTAGCTTCACTTGAACAAGTATGTTTAATAATAGGTGGGAAATCTGTTAGAAACTTCGGAGATTGTTCAAATAGTTTTGATCTGATAGTTCGAGCAGAATACTCTCGTTTTTCTGATCCACACCAAACTGGAACAATATTATGGGCATCAACCTGGTTAAAAATAATTAACAATTAATCTATAAGCCAGGACTCTGAAGCTAGTGAAATACATATGTTTAGCAGAAAGTCGGATGCTACCATTTTTTATAAACTATATTTTAGAAAAAGCTCAGCTAATACTACGTATACAGTCATATTAAACAAAAGGCGATAGAGTAACAATCGTAAAAACCTACTACGTTGCATAGGAAAGGAAATTCGTAGCTAAATTTCCACTTATCGAATCAACGCCAAACGCCTGTAATGAAACTTTTATTATATACACCCTGTGAATGATGGAACTTTCATCACCTCAAAAACAAAAGGATAAAACAGTAAAACCAATAAACAAAACATTTGTAACTCGTTACACCACATTTACTATTCAATAAATAATACTGTTTTACTACACAAGGCATACTATATGAGTCAGTACGTTTAAAGCATCAGACTTTTCTGTATCTTGATAAGTGCCATTTGTAACTTGACAAACGTGATTACGCTGTCGTCTACAAACCCTTCAACACCATGGTACGCAAAGATGGAAAGATTTCACTCTAACTCAAAATGTTCTCACAAAGCCACATGTTTATAACCTCTATAAGAATAGCCCTATTGACCTTCTTCACGTAAGGGTACGATTACAAAAAGTGAAAAGGCGGATGTCTAGCGTTTAGACCTAAATTGGTAGTTATAAACAATCCATTGGGGAACCGAACAACATTGAAAAATATTAGTGAACATGGGCTCCAGGATCTTAAAGTAACAAGTGACATATGAACTGATTTTAATCATACGCTACCACAAGACTGCATTTCTTGACACTGCTCTAGTACTTTGTGGATTAGACCCTTAGATCGAAGGTTAGGGGAGTGATACTTCATGGAAAAACCCACCTATATCGGTTCGAGCGTCTAGGAAGTACCCCATTCTTTGAGGATGTAATAAACACCTGATTACCATTTGTTAGGAAGCAACAATGAAATAACTACATAAATTTAAAACCAAAATTCCTATATAAATTAAAAAAACAACTTTTATACAACAGAAGTCTTACTTCACAAAAAGGGATATTATTAGGTAGTTCATCAATAATTTTTTTTATCCATGAACGAGGTGCTCTTAAAGGACAGAAGTCTGTGACCAAACATCCAACATTCAATAGTTTTGCCAAACCAACAATCGATTTTGCAACATACGTTTCATAAAGAAAGTTTTTTTCTACTTGATCAGTTTGATTAAATCGAGCATTTTCATCGGACCATCTGTGCTTGCATACAGAAGATACATCTTCAGGTCTATCAATTTGATTGGAGGTAATCAACAAATGGAATGGGATATTCAATGAACGACATTCCTATGAAGGAGAAACCAACAGAGTCTTTATAGATATAACGTAATAAATTTATTTCACTCTTAACGAAAATCTGGATGAATGCACAAACATGGAATTCAAAACTAGACTATATCTTTATGATGTGTTGCACTGCGAGTTAACACTTTTTAAAACAAGAATAGTTTAATAACATTAAGATATTGGGTATAATAATAATGAGCCAATATTTTTAGACTGCTTAGTTATAAAAAATCTAATACAACTCTGGATCTAACAATTTGCCGTAGACCAAAACATCTACATTGGGATATACATCTTAAATCCACACATCCTATCAATATTAAGCGTTGTATTTCTCTCAGTATGTTCATTGAAAATACTGAACTTGTCACACCAGAAGATAAAAAGAACTTGAAATAATACGCATTTTTCAGTTTAATGATTTTCTTGTAAATATCACCTAAAATATCATAAATTGCTCTGCCTCAAGCCTTTCTAAAGCTACTGACAATCCCAAACCCGGATAAAGGAGGAGGGTTGAACATGGGGGTTAGCAACCGCATTCAGTAAAAAATACCTTGATATACACTTAAAGTAAGAATTCACTCAAAACACTTATGCTGTCCTGAGAGCTGAAGTGTTTCCACATATAAAGGTTATGACGCTTTAAAGTGAAAGCCGAAATTCTTTAGAAACCACGAGGCCGATATATCTACTGGCAACCAGAGCAAATATTAGTATAGGCACATGAAATGTCCGCGTTATATGGAAGACCGGGAAGAAACTTTCAAATAGCAGCAGAAATGAAAAGATACAATCTTGCTTTTTTGGAATAAGTGAAACCCATTAGACCCAAGGTGGACATAAAAGACTAGCTTCAGGAATAAGTGTTGTTGTACTCTGATCATGAGGAAAATTCGTCACACACACAAGGAGTTGCGCTGATACTGCGAAAAGCACTTATAGGATGAGAATTTCATGGCTCCAGGATCATCAAAGCATCCTTTAAAACAAGGAAGGAAGGGACTACAATAAACACCACCCAGTGCTATGTGCTCACCGATGATAGCAGCAAAGATGATGAAAATTATATTTAAGAGACTGCAGTTCATCATGGAGAACTGTCCGGAAAAAGACCTGACCATCTCGATGGGAGACCTAAACGCCGAGGTTGGTATGGACAGGATCTGGTAGGAGGTTGTGGTCTTGAGTGCTGTTAGAGGTATGAGGGCGGTTATCACTTCCCGGTTGCCCACACTGTGGAAGGGTTGTTCTGGAGGTACCTGAAAAGGAAATTGGATTAGAGGCGGTCTTAGTGACCTGAGAGCGTGACCGTAGTGCCCGAGGGACAACTGCATGAGGTCGGTCACACACGACCTTTTTATGGGTAATTTTTGTGTAAGCTCCGTACTTGTTGAGGCCTTACCGCCGGAGACGGATATCCGTGAGATAAGTCGAGGTGTGCATTTCTAGGGTCGACCTTTTCTAACCCCACCCCTCCTTGTGGGAAGGCAGCATCGCTGTCATGCTGGTTGTCTGAAGGAAACACCTTACTGCTGTCACACCTCTGTACAGTCAGCAGTACGACTTCGCCTTCGGACCTTGGGTTTGTTGCTTTTAGTCTTACCGCTCTTCAACCGACCTGTCTGACATGGTAGGACCTAGGGGAACGGTTGTTCCAGCCAGTATAGCTCGGTTGCTTCATCACGACAGGCAAGCCCGACCACCACGTCAACGGTCGGGTAGGATAAAGGAACGAGAATGGTGAGACTCAAAAATCTATGTGCTTTTAACATGGTTATAACGGGTACTATTTTCTCCCACAAACGCATGTTTCATCGGAACACATCTCGTAGAATCAGATCGATTACATTTGCATCAAAATAAACTCAGAAGGTTGATGGAAAACGCAAGAACAAGAAGGGCCAATATAGTTTCAGACAACCGGATAAGCAACACAATTAATCTTTAATACAGCTTTTTTCGAGATGCTAACAAACTCAGCAACTCAAAGATAGACCTCAGCAACAAGACCCAAGCCTTACAAGATCTATTGGAAGGAGGAACCACGATAGAGAACTGGAAAGAGACTAGAGAAGTAATAACTTCAATAAGCTAGAAAAGGCTGGGGAGCAAGAAACACCAGGATGGGTCGCTATTGATACCCTGTCCAAGACTAAAGATAGGAAAAATGAGAAGACAGTAGCCAAGAGCCGAAAAAGAGCAGCGAAATCCAGAGTATATAGGAGCAAAAAACGAGTGGCGAAAAGCATTAAAGCTGACAGGCGGAAATATGTAGAATATCTAGCAATGACAGCAGATAAAGCTTCAAGAGAAGGAAATATGGGGGAACTATATGAAACAACCAAGAAATCAGAAGGGAAATATCGTAAACCAGAGCGACCAGCCAAGAACAAAGAAGGCAGACCAATTACTGAGGCCCAAGGACGGCAGAACAAGTGGGTAGAACACTTTGAAGAGCTCTTAAATAAACCAGTGCTACTGAATCCACCCGACACCGAAGTCGTATACACAGACCTCTCCACAGATGACACTCGGACGACAGGAGAAATTAACAAGGCTATCAAACAAATCAAGAGTGCCACAGAAGAGGGACCAAATAGCATACGACCAGAAACATTAGATCAAGATATAGAGGTAGTTCTTACGATGTTTCATGAGAGCACGAAACCCGGGTTCAGGGTTTCCTGTTGACTACCTCTAACCACGATCTTATCTCAGTATAGTGCACGCAGTGTCGAGTCATCTAGACTGGTGGCCACATTGTAACTTGGTCGATAGGATTCGATCTGCACTAAGAAGGACTTGACACACATGACATTGATCACCACTCAGTGATCAATCAATTGTGAACTTTATGGAATCTTCTTCGGCACTATAAAGTACCTGAGAAAATTGTCATCATTATACGGAACTCCTGCTAGAAACTGAACTGCGAAGTCGTGGATGGGGAGTAGCCCATAGATGCGTTTCAAGTGAAGACTAATATCAGATAGGGTTTCCTACCCTTACCTTTCCTCTTCCTTCTGGTTGTTGACTGGACTATGGAGACTTCCACGTCTCAGTGAACTAGGTGATTGGGACTTTATAGATGACCTAGCCTTTCTATCCCATACACAGTAACAAATGCAAATGAAGAACGCCAGAATACCAGCGGCTTTCACAACAGCAGGCCTGAATATTCACATAGAAAAAGATAAGATCCTGAAATGCAATACAGTGAGCACCAGCCCAATTACATATGATGGCGAAGCTCTGGAAGAGATGGAAGCCTTTACATCCCTGAGAAGCATCACTGATAAACAAAGAGGACCTGATACATATATGAAGGTATGGGTCGGTAAACCAAGGAGAAGCATCCTTATAGCTGAAGAATATCTGGAACCCAAAACAACTGTCACATAACGCCAACGTTAAAACAATTCTGTTGTACGGCAATAAAACATGGAAAACTATTACTACTATCATTAAAAAACTGCAGGTGGTTATAAACAGCTGTCTACGCAAAATACTGCAGATCCATTGAGCAGAACCATCATCGTCACAGGGAAGAAACCAGTTTTCGTATGAAGAAATCAGCAAGAGACGCTGGAGCTGGATTGGACATATTACAGAAACCATCAAACTGGATCACAAAGCAAGCCCTAACTCACAATACTCAGGGAGAAAGGAGTCAGACCAAGGAACGTATTGTGCCAAGAATTGGGGGCGGATATCAAAAGAACGGATAGAACTTAGCAACAATTAGAAACGAAAGTCCAGGACAGAATTAGTTGGAGATTTCTGGTTGACGACCTGTGCTCCATGAAGGGGTAACAGGTTTAAATAAGTAAGCTACCGTAGTTTTACGTTCTAGTTAAAGTACACCAGAAGAAGCATAAAGGTTGTCAAAAAATAAAAAAAGAATCAAAGCATTCTAAGAAACAGCAAACACATTTTGAAAACGTTTTAGTCGGAATATAAGAAGAATCCCGTTCATATTAGCATAGGATTGAATCTACATACATTAATGTTTCGATTTGATGGAGATTTTTAAATAGATTAGATTGTGTCGATTGTGATGCTACTGTCCTGGGGAAATACTAACACGTCTCAAGAAACATCTGCGCTGCACAAAAAAGCCTCCGAAAACTATGGGTCAAATCAGTAATATTAATACGTGCTATATATAACAACCATTTAGCCGATATCCAATATTTCCAAAAAATTCAAAAAGGTTTACCCAACTATGAAGAAACGTGAGTAACTGAAGTACTTGAAATATTGCTGAACTTTGCTGCGTTCAAATGAAAGGAAGGATAAGTTATTCGACCGACCCTTTTCCAAACATTCAAAACAACTTGCTCAAAGTTCACAATACAAGCAAACTACTTGCTTATATCACAGTTATCACATCATACCTACCCACATACATATACGAATACAAAAGAACAAGTTTCACTTAAAACCACCATTGATCTAAAAGACATGATATTAACAGAAACAGACTTAATTGTATGTACTAAATTTGAATCGGCCCTGGTACGGCCGAGAGTAGGGAGAGTCCGCTCTCCCTCTCGAAATGCTCTCACATGGCCACGCGTATATAGCCTCTGTCAAGCAAGTCCTACTCACTGCCTTCTCGTGGCGGCGGTGTTGTTTACGAAAATGAGAGGACGAAAAGCGAATGTCCGGCGCTTTAACCGGGCCAGTGGACACGGTGAATTCACCTAGGGGAGTTTGAAAACACTGATTCCAAACCAATGGTGCACATGGGCCCCAGTATCCTGACAGAACAAATGGCGTACGAACCAATTGTTGGTGACCGGCTACCATGAGACTGCATCTCCTTACGATGCTCCACTGCCTTGTGGGTCAGACCTCTAGGTCGCAGGCTCGGGGAGTGGCCCCCTAAGAAAACCACCTGCTTCTGTTTGGGCACCCGAGCAGTGTCACAGCTCTCACACAAATCAAATGAGATTTGTGTGGCGCATATGTATTTGGTGCCTCCTTGTACCAAT